CTGGACAACACAGAGTGACTCCTAATGTAAACTGTGGACTTTAGTTAATGTATTAGTCAGTTCATCAGTTGTCACAGCTATGCCACAGAAATACAGGATGCTAATAATGGGAGAAACGTTGTGCAGGGGGAGAGGGATACATGGAAAGTCTGTACTTCCTGTACATTTTTTCTGTGGACCTAAAACTGCTCTAAAAAATATTCTTATGTATAAAAAAAGAGTCTAGGTAATTGCACAAAAGCTTGTTTAATTAATAATGTATCTAGTAATACTACCGACCTCATCGCCATCTCTAACGACAGCTTGGGGAAATGCATTCAGCATTACACTTGGGATGTCAGGAAATGCACACTCCGCCCCTATGCATTTCTGATGATAAGCTCGGGATTTTTCCTGTTACCTATCAGAAGTGAGATGCATGCTTTATACGTTAGTTCTTAGTGGCCTCTGAGTGGGATTGGGAGGATTCCAGTTGATAGTTGCTGGGGGTGGGCTGTGTGGGGTGAGGAGCTTTGACTCAGGCCTTCCGCTGGCATACCCCCCACCTCTTGGTTTTAGGCTGTTTCCTTGTCTCTATGAAGTAAATATTATGCTTGTTTGAGATGAAGAAACTGAGGCTCTGTCCAGTTCTTAGGAACTTGCCTAAGGTCTGTATGAAATTAACGAGAGGCAGAACCAAGATTGGCACCCAGCTCTAACACCAATGCCTATAGTCTGTCCCTTAACCATGCTGCCTTGAGACGAAGGCTTTTCCCTGTCTTTAGCCTGTTAGGGAATGGAATACATTCTTACAGCTTTCCCCTGCCGTTCTGTCCTGGAAGCAGTCACATTGTCCTTTTTGAGTTGTCTAAGGGAGCATGGTGGTAAGGGCTGTGGGGCCAGTCAGACCTGGGGTTCTAATCCTGCTTCTACTACTTACTACCTAATAGTAAGCGTGACTCTTGGAAAATCCTTTCACCTCTCAGAGTCTCACTGTCTCCCTCTGTAAGATGGGAATAATATCTACTTTGTATACATGTGCAGATGAAATGGCATTGTATAGAAAGCACTTGGCACAGTTCCTGACACATGGCAGATGCTTACTGGGGGGTGGTGCTAGTTAGTGAAGATAAAAGGCAACTTCTTTCCTCCTCCCTGCTCCCTCATCCCCTGGAGGAAGACACGGCAGGGGCTAATGAGGGATCTGGTTTCCACAGGTCTGAAATGAAATTCATGTCCATTCCAGAGGGCCATCCAAATCTGGGGACTCTAGTGGCCTTTGAGGAGGGATCTGGGTATGGGGAGATGGACAGGAGTCTGGAATGCTGCACAGGAGACCAGCTAGGGTGAGAGGAGAGAAGCTTACCATCTCCTTCCCTCTGGCCACCGTCAGGCCCACAACCATGGAGGTGGCATGAAGGCATGGGGGGAAGCAGCACAGAGCAGCAGCAGATGAAAAGGAGGAGGCGTCCGTGGGCACCAGAGTCGGGGACTGCACATGCATGTTTCTTGAATGGTATTCTCAATAAAGTGCACAAAAGTTCCTACGCACACTGGAGAACGTCATTCTCCTATGGAGAATGTGTTCTTTTTTCTGCAATCATAATTTATTTGAAGAATTCAAAGCTGTTTAAAGCACATGTGTCTAGTAAGCTAGTGAGTTCTAATAATACTGATCTGTTTCTAATTCTGTAAATTAATTCTAATCATTTTCTGTCTATCAATGACTCTCTTTTCCTGCTCTGCTCTCAGGAAGAAGACAGCTTCCTAGAAAAGGTAATGCAGTACATTGGTGGTAATGAGAGTTTCCTTGTGCTTGGTTAACACTTAACTGTGGCCCTGGAATGTGTCCCTAGGCTTACCCATTCAGAGACCTCTGACTCGGTGAGAATCCCCCAAAGTCCTGCCAGTGGGCTTTGAGTGTGTCTGAAGTACAGGAGAAAGACTTACTGCACAGGTCAAGCCACTGAGACTCAGTACATAAAAGCCATAGGACTCAGCTTCTAGATTTGCATTTCCTAAATGAGAAGTCACTAGGGAGCTGTCTGGATGTATCTGAAAGCTCGTGAGGTGGTGGAGGCACTGCTTAGCTGGCCTCCATTTCCAATGATAGTAAAACCAGAAGAGTCGATAGCTGTTACATTAGGAGTGAGTTGGGGTTAGTAACGATAGCGATTAGTTAAAGAATACACAGAAACATTCAAGAAATTGTATCGAATAGACCCATGGAGCTGAACTGGATCTCAAGGGTCCAGTTCTCTGCCTTTTGACAGGGCAAGGTAATGTCTCCATTGTAATAGACCAGACAGCTAAGGCCCAGGAAGGTTGAGAAATGTCCTAAAGTCATAGTACTCCTGATACCAGGGGTATGAGGTGGAGGGTACCAGAGCCAGGAGCCGGCCTTGCCACATGAAGGGCTCCTTCCACAGTGTGTCACTCTCCATCATCAACCTGAAGAGCTGCCTGGCTCCACACAGGACCATCAGGAAGAAGAGTATGGGATTGATAAAAAGTCTTAAAGCATTTTACGTACAAGATCTAACACAACCTCCACTTGTGGTGGCGCATGGAATTTAATTTAATGTATTTTGATGATGGAGATGATGTTCTCTTTTTGTACTTAGTAGTACTAAAGTTACAAAGTGGGCATAGCAGATACTGGATGTATTTTGTTGCAAGAAGACAATGTATCCTTGGTTTCCTTTTGAAAATTAGAGTTCAGGATAATTTTGTGGAATTTTTTCCAAGTAATATCTCTTGTGCATGATCTTTCTCTAGACTTCAGAGACACAAGTATGCTATTTCCTATTATCACATGTGAATTTGCAAATGGACAGTGGATGGTGTATATAACCTACTGACATTTTATTAACCTTTTTAAACCACTGATTCGAGACAGCTCTGCTTCCCAGCCCCTCCTTGCTAATAGCTGGCCATGTTCTATCTTTTCATCTTGGACAGTGCCTTGTGTTACCTTAATGCTTGAGTACAGGAAAAGCTCCAGTTGAATGTCAGTTGTTTTTTTTAAAAGTACATGAATCAGTGCTGAATAATTTACAGATGGTAAGTTTGGAGACGTCTGCCAGAGACGTGCACGTGTTGCATTTGATCCAGAAAGTTAACAGAGTGCACTATGGACGGTGTTTTGGCTCAGACATCATGTGGATGCCAGGATGTAATACTTGCAACTGGAAAGAAGGTAGTGGATGAGCCACTGATCGAAGTTCTGGCAACTATAGGGAATACGAATGTCAAGTAATTGAATCCCAGGGAAAGATCAAGAAGGGAAGCAAAATGAATGTAAAGAAAATAGATTTTAAATGGTAACCAGCTGTCATGCTCCCTTTTCTCCCTTTGCCCCTCAAAAAGGCACAGCAGGTTTTCAGAGGCCATCAGTGCTTATTAAATAAAGAGCACAGTGTTAAAAAGAGAGCTCGGCCCTGCTGCAGTCCGCATTAGTGAAAGGCTGGTTTTCCTTCCCTTAAAGTTACATGGCTGAGAGTTATGGGTGGAATTTACAGATTGCACAGTGGTGTGCAAGAATTTCCTGAAGTTGAACATACATGATACATGATATTAACCTGGAGTCGGGGGTAGGGAAGATGCAGAAAATTGGTCATAGTTTTCTCCACTAGCATTTTTCTGCCTTTTAACCCATTTGACACCTTTTTCATATAATTTATATTTGACTATATAAACATAAAGACACCATGTGGCACAGTGGTTAAAGCACTCGGCTGCTAACCAAAAGGTCAGTGGTTCAAACCCACCAAGCGGTCTGTGGGAAAAAGATGAGGCAGTTTGTTTCTTTAAAGATTAACAGCCTTGGAAACCCTATGGGGCAGTTCTACTCTGTCCCAAAGGGTCACTATGAGTTGGAATCAACTCATTGGCAATGGGTTTACCAATGGGTATATAAAAACATAAGATAATTGAGTTTATTCCTCAATCATTTTTAAATTCAGATTTAGTTATTGATCTAATTAATGTGTGCCATTTCCCATTTCTGGACTTTTTCTCTTGCATTCTTTCAGAAGAACCTAACAGAAAGTAGAAAGGTGGGTGGATGGGGTGAGAGCCCCTGCAAGTTTTTGCTGAGCTATTAATATGGACTCACACCCTAGACTTTTCATGGTATTTCTGGCACCTGGTTTTCTGTATTTCAATACATCCAGTACAGCCACTATTTTTGGCTCTTAAAGCTTATGGGTTGTAGTGCCTTAGGTTTAGAACTTCTATCATGCCTGAGAACCAAAATTCCTGAGAACCAAAGAACCTCATTTAAATCAAGAAACAAAATAGTAATATTTGTGGTGAGACTTGAAAGAATAAGTTAAAAGTAAACAAAAACCTGAGCGTAGACCCTGGTGTCTCGAAGTACTGTATTGTTAATTGTAATGCCACGGTCCTCATGTCACCAGTGACGTGGACTATACTGTGGCTGTATCACTGGAGCACTGGTTCTCAGTGCCAACACTGAATCTATAGCACAGAATGCATCCACGTGATAAACACAATAAACCCAAAGGAAATGCTTAACAGTTAAGTGAAGCTTTTTGGAAAGGGAATCTTTAACCAACCATAGGAATCAGAATGGAGTGTCTGCTGATCAGGGGTGGCCCAGAGAGAGAGAGAGAAATTCTAAAGATGAAGATCACTCTGTACCCACATAAGCAGAATTTGAAGGAGATTAAATTACCCATACAAGACTTTTCTGAGACACCATTGATTCTCATCCCTTTTCACCCATTAGGAGAAATCTCTTCTGCAGATGGTTCCCTTGGATGAAGGTGCCAGTGAGAGACCCCTTCAGGTCCCCAAGGAGATCTGGCTTCTAGTCGATCACTTATTTAGATATGCCTGCCACCAGGTAAGTGAGAGCAAGTCTTCCCTGCAGTTTTAGAAGATGTGTGAGTACTATGGGGGACTAAGCTACCTCCACACAACGGTACTGTCAGATCATGTGAGCTGGTGGTAGGATCCCCATTTACATGTATGCAAGGTAAAGCATACAAGGTAAGTGACTTGCCTAAAATCTCAGCATAAGCATAGTGGTGGCACCTGACTCAGAACTGACAGTATTTGTCTCCTTGACCACTGTGTGCCTGAGTCTGTGATGCTTGCTTTAGGTTTCTTTTTTTATACAGTAGGCAGTATAGGGTTTAAAGTCCAAAGCAGACTTCAAACCCATTTCTTTAGAGGGAATTAGAGTAAATAAATAAAGAAATACTAGGAGCTCTGGTAGCACTATGGTTAAACTATAGGGCTGCTAACCAGAAGGTTGGCTGTTCTATGGGAGAACGATGGGGCAGTCTGCTTCCATAAAGATTTACTCTGTCCTATGGGATTGCTGTGAGTTGGAATCCATTAGATGGGACTGGATTTGGTTTTTATCTAAAGTATTAGCCAACCCCTCCTTCTACCAACTCATCCCCCTAAAAGAGAAAAATATCTTGGGACCAAATTGAAAGATAATTTTTTTCTTACTCAGTGAATGGTAATACTACTTGAAAGTAAGGTTTAGTATGAATGTGCTATTACTCCTTCCCTAGCATTCAGTAGTACCTGTATTTGAATGCAGCTATGCTGTTTAGAAAAGAGGAGCTCTGGGAGCATAGTGCCTAAGGCACTTGACTGCTAACCAGAAGGCTGGCGGTTCAAACCCACCAGCCACTCCGTGGAAGCAAGACTGGGCAATCTACTTCTGTAAAGATTTACCACCTTGGAAACCCAATGGGTGTCTCTATGAAAGAGCCCTGGTGGCACAACGGTTAAGTGTTGGGCTGATAACTGAAAGGTTAGCAGTTCAAACCTACTAGTTGCTCCATGAGAGAAAAACGTGGCAGTCTGCTTCTGTAGAGATTACATACAGTCTTGGAAACTCTATGGGGCAGTTGTACTCTGTCCTATAGGGTCATTATGAGTAAGAATTGACTCAGTGACAGTGTTTGGTTTTTTTGAGGTTGGCTGTTTGGATTCTGCCTTCTATTTGTTAAGAGGCTAGAAGTGAAATCCTTGGTTTTCTGATCTGTTCCCCTGCTGTAACTGGTATTGGTTAAAACCTTTGAAGAGAATTTTCTTGTTTGAAATCAAGTTCCACACAGATTATAGAGATGGTATAGGAAAAAAGTGCTATTTTTCACACCTCCATTCCTAATTATTAATACACATACCACCCTTCCTTGTTGCTTCCTTGCTGCTCTCCCGATCCCTGGGTGATCTTCAGACCCTTCCAGGTGATTATCTTGCCTTGTTCCCTTCATTCTGACTTCTTTGGTAGGAGGACCTGTTCCAAACCCCTGGAATGCAGGAAGAGTTACAGCAGATCATTGACTGTCTGGATACCAGCATTCCTGAGACAATCCGTATCCTTTCCAACAAAGGCTTAGGAACTCCTTTTCCCACCTACTTTCGATTTTCATGTTTCCATATTTATTTTCTTTTATTACAAGGTAGTTGTTGATTCTGTGGTGGTTTCTCAATTCCTTTCAGGAGCTTTTGACCTCTCTCTCTCCATCAGGTTCTTACTAAAAGGAATCAAGAAGTAGGTACCAAAGACTTTTAATGGGAATAGAACATAGGCCCCACAGCTCTGGTGCTGTTCTCCTTCAGGTGACTGATCACTGCTGCTACCACACAGACTGTCACTAGGACAAGGAAAACGATGGAGAACATTGACGCCTGGTTTGTAGGACTGACCGGTGTGAACTGTCATTCTGCAGGCTATATTCTCCTGATTCTACACTTGGGCCAAACCTCCCAAGAGTCTCTGATCAGTTCTGTAACAACTTGGCTCCAGGAGGTCTGGGCCAATAAAATATCAAAGCCCAGTAAGGATCAGCGTGCCCTGCATTCGAGGAGGGAAAGCAGCCCTAAGGAAGCAGATTGGGCCTGCAGGTTACCTGTTCACGGGAGGCCCTTTCCCTTAACTTCTGTTGACCCAGCTGGCAGTAATCACTCAGTGGCCGAAGCTCTGCTTATTTTCCTGGAAGCCCTCCCAGAGCCAGTCATCTGTTATGAGCTGTATCAGCGATGCCTCGACTCTGCCCACGATCCCCGGATCTGCCGCCAGGTGGGTCTTACTCATTCTCCCCCATTCTGAGGATGTTTGGGGCAGCTTCCCGCATACGGAAACTATTAAGTTTCTAAAGCCAAATAGTCTGCCTGCTGTGAGGTGGGGTGGGTCTCGATCTGTTTTTCTTGGCAGGACACCAGCGCCAAGAGTTGAGACCCTTACAGCCGAGGCTTAGCAAATAGTTCCTGTTACATGTGCTACCAGTTCCCAGGTGGCCTGTTTCCATGTACAGATAACATAGCGGGGTAGATACCTCTCCTCTGGGGTAAGATCGGTGAAGCGTGGAATTCTCGTTGCCATTACCAGAAGGCTGAGTAACACTTGGGAGTCTTCCTTTTTTTTCTCCCTGGTCTTTGTTTTTAAATCCTGAAATCATTTTGATGCACAATAGCTGAGAAAACCTCTGAGTCAGACTATGACATTGTAGCGAAAACCATTCAGCCTGAAAAGGGCAGATGTACCCCGACCTGCTTGTGAGGCAGGTGTGTGTGGGAATGCACAAAGGCTGCATGGCCTGGTGAGTGAGTGGGCCAGGGCCAAACAGTGTCACCACTCTGACTCGGAAGTTATAATTTGGCAGATGTTGTAAATGACGGCGGGTTATGGCAGATGAATGGAACCTTGTAAGGGTTAAATTGTCTTCTACTATTACGGAAGCTCCCAGTTCTTCACCCTATTTCCCCCACTTCCCACCCACTTTTTTTGTTGTTGTTTTGTTTTGTTTTTGAAAAAAAAAAACAACAGGTGATTTCACAGCTTCCAAGATGCCATAGAAATGTTTTCCGCTACTTGATGGCTTTTCTTCGAGAACTCTTAAAATTCTCTGAATACAACAATGTCAGTGCCAACATGATCGGTAAGGATGTTCCACAATGATGGCTGCTTG